TTTGTCCAAAGTCACAGAGATATTAGTGGCAGAAGCAACAACCACTTACATCCCTCAGTTTATCTTTTTGTCTTTGTAGCTGTCTAGTGATAATATCTAGTTGACTTTAAGGGCTTTATGGCCAGGGAACCTATTTTCTGTTCCTAGTTCCACAAAATGAGGTACAAGGTTCTTCCTGGAATGTATTCAGTGGAAGATGCCTGGACCGTTTTCCTAATGTGAAATCATAGGCAACTTAAAACTCTATCTTCATATAATCTGGTGTTATTTAGAAGCTGAGCTTGAGTTGGTACTATTGCTAAGACATTGTAAATATGTGACTCTTCTATTTTTATGAGTAATTTTCCTGTATTTGTGCTAGAAGTTAACATATACTCCTATGGGATATGAATTTTAATGTGTAAAAGCACCCCTGAGGGAAAGTTATTGAGAGCTGATGAAGTAGATAGATGAAAATAAACCATATTGAAAATTTCAAAAGCTTAGTATGCTTTCTAAGGTAGTGTGGCCACAAACTGAATTTTTAGGAGTATGTTTGTGCATTTCTGTAGGATATCTTTTTCTTGTTAGCTTTAACATAGCCTTTATGGATGAAGCTTGATAAATATTAAGCAGTTAGTTAATAGTTACAATGTTCAAGGATTAAAATCTCTATGAATCCTACCAAAGTATTCACTGTTATTACATACATGTCATGCTTTGGCATTCCAAATGTGTGAAATAACAAAGCATTTTATCATCATTGAACTAGTAAGTACCTAAATTCAAGAGATGATGACTTAATATTTATTGTTGTTTTTATAGGCCTAATTTGTAGATATCCTCAAGAAGATTATGAGTCATTCTCACTACCAGAATCCGTTCCTCTATTTTGTTTACCAATGGGAGCAACCATTGAATGTTGGCCATCAAATAGCAAATACCCTCTCCCTGTATTTTCTACATTTGTTTTAACTGGAGCCTCAGCTGAAAAGGTATGTGTTTGACAATTTGTATCTGCAAATTTCTTGTACATTTTCAAGTTTTCTATAATGCAAAGAATAGTAGGGGAAAAACTGATTAAATTGAATGCATTATGCATACTTTTCCACTTGATTAAAATAACTGTATCCAGGGACAGGAAAAGAGAATTTTTATTCAGTCCCATCCACCTAAATGCTTTTTTGTGATTGTAGTGAAACATTTTTTCATTATCAAATGATGATCCTTCATTGGTTCACTTTCTGTGATAAAGAAGCTTTGAAAGTAACATTATTAAATATATAATGCAGTTTAGAATTATAGACATGATAGTTGGCAGGGACCTTAGAAATTATCAAGTCTAACGTCCTCATTTTATGGATAGGAAAATTGATGTCCCGAGAAATTCAATGAATTGCCCAACGCTGGAATTTGTATTTCCTTATCTAAATTTTCATCTCACTTTCTACCAAGTAATTAATTTTCATTTTCTTCTAGAGAATATTGATAAAATTGCTTCCACTCTTTATAAAACAAATAAATTTAATCAAAATAACCTTTTCTTTCAATAGTAAGGAGACATGAGAATAGCACTATATAGTTCTTAGATACATCAAGAAAGCAGGAGGGGTGTCTCTTCATCACTGTGTTCCTAATACCTGGCCTCTCACCTGGCTCATAGCAAGCATTTTATTAAATATTTAACTGATGATGTCATTTGGATATATGATACAAAGTATATTTACTGGATATATTACTTGTTTTGCAGGTTTATGGTGCTGCTATTCAGTTTTATGAACCATACTCTGAGGAGAATCTCACAGAAAAACAGAGACTTCTTTTGGGTTTAACATCAGCAGATGGGAAGTCTGATAGTTCCAAAACAATTCATACTAACAAATGCATCTGTCTTCTTTCTCACTGGCCTTTTTTTGATGCATTCAGGAAGTTTCTGACTTTTCTGTATCGTTATTCCATCTCTGGGCCTCATGTCCTTCCAATTGAGAAGTAAGTTAAGTGTTCTTGGTTCAACATTTGACAGATCTTTCCATTATGTGGAAAATTTGTGTTGGCAACTGGGTAAATTTTGTATGGATACTAGATTTCTCAAGAGTTATTTGAAAAAAATGGTTTATTTCAGTCAGGTAATATTTCTCCATTGTGTGTTTGTGGTCTTGTTATTTAAAATAATTTTGTCTCCAATGAGATGAAATTAATGTTTCTTTTTTTTAATGCTCTTGTAAAGTTTAGAGATCCTAATCTGGACAAATGCTGAACATTTTTTACTAATTTTTAAATTCTTATTTTACATATACTTTAAATTTATTATGAACCTTTAAAAATGTTTCTTACTGGGGCTGGGTGCAATAGCTCACACCCATAATTTCAGCACTTTGGGAAGCCAAGGCAGGCAGATTGCTTGAGTCCAGTAGTTTAAGACCAGCCTGAGCAACATGGCAAAACCCTGTCTCTACAAAACTACAGAAATTAGTTGGACATGGCCCATGCCTGTAGTCCCAGCTGCTTGGGAGGCCAAGGCATGAGAATCACTTGAACCTGGGAAACGGAGGTTGCAGTAAGCCATGATGATGCCACTGCACTCCAGCCTGGGTGACAGAGGGAGACCCTGTCTCAAAAAAAAAAAAAAAAAAAAAATTCCTTACCGTATTTACATATAATGAATGTACAGGAAAAATTAGATGAATGCATTTTTTTTCTTTGGCAATATACCCAGTAATGGAATCGCCAGGTCTATTTATTTTAAAGATAACAAACCCATTACATGTTAATATAAATGTCTTTTTTGAAAAATAACTTTTCCAAAACTAAAAAAACTTTAGTGAGCAGAAGGGCATTGTTTTACATTTTTGCAAATCTCTAATGTCTAGCTTAATTGAACATAGCCGGGCTTCCATATATGGTTCTGCATTCAATCTGTTGCAGTAGTTGTTTTGGTTGAAATATACAAAGAAGGCCTGGCCTCCCACAGATATGTAGATAGAAAAGGGAGGGATTTTGAATAATATTTTCAGAAAGTTTTGGATATTCTTTTTTTTTGACGCTGCACCAAGCTTGACAAATGTTGGTTTCTTACAAGTTATTTGCAATCTAAAACTGTAGTAGTGAACTTTGTCAGTTACATTAAAATCTATTGGTCTGGCCAGGTGTGGTGGCTCACACCTGTAATCCCAACACTCTGGAAGGCTAGGGCAGGAGGTCAGGAGTTCAAGACCAGCCTGGCCAACATGGTGAAACCCTGTCTCTACTAAAAAAAAAGAAATACAAAAACCAACTGTGGTTGCTGGTGCCTGTAGTCCCATCTACTCTGGAGGCTGAGGCAAGGAGAATTGCTTAAACCCAGGAGGCAGAGGTTGCAGTGAGCCAAGATCATGCCACTGCACTCCAGCCTGGGCGACAGAGCAAAACTCTGTCTCCAAAAAAAAAAAAAAAAAAAAAAAAAAATCTGTCGGTCTGTTTGACTCTTTGGGGGAACTTCCAGTTATGCATTATTTTGTAGCATTGTGCATTGGTCATTTGGAAAATGCTGATTTGCCAAGTTAAGCACATCTTCCAAATGTAGACACATGTTATTATTAATATTAAAAAATCACATTTGTTAATATCACCACCTATCTTAGAAAAGTTTTTGAGCATTAGGAAGCTTTCAGGCTCATGGTGCAGAATTCTAATTTCCACTTGAAAGTTTGTATTTAATTATTGGCAAATACTGCCAGTAGCTGGGATTACAGGCGTGTGCCACCACACCTGTCTAATTTTGTATTTTTGGTAGAGATGGGGTTTTGCCATGTTGCTCAGGCTGGTCTCGAACTTCTGACCTCAGGTGAAACACCTGCCTTGGCCTCCCAGAATGCTGGGATTACAGGTGTGAGCCACCGCACCTGGCCTGTCAGTCATCTTTCAAACAAAAATTGCACTCTGTGGGAGAAAACCAGCAAGTTCACTCACAACTTAGTTGTACAAGTGCATTTCCAAAATCAAGACAACCATTGTACTTCTGTATGCAACAGAAGTTCTTTATGTGTAGTTTCCCTTTCATCATACAGAATTTTAAAAATGTACACTACAGCCAAAACTTAATACAATTAGTAATATTTACTGCTAATGTTGACACTCTTACTGCAAGTGTATAGTAGTAAAGAATATAGCAACTACTAGTACATTTTGGTGCCACTGCCTTGATTCATAGTAAGTCACCAGCAGTTTTACCCACAATGCTCTTGCACTGTCAGTGCAAATGTCAACATTGTGCAAAAAGCAAATGACATCATATAATTTTTTGTTTGCTTGTTTTTTTCTTTTTTTTTTTTTTTTTTGTTTTTTGACACAGAGTCTTGTTCTGTCACCTAGGCTGGACTACAGTGATGTGATCTCAGCTCACTGCAACCTCTGCCTGTTGGGCTTAAGTGATTCTCATGCCTCAGTCTCCTGAGTAGCTGGAATTACAGACATGCACCACCACATCTGGCTAATTTTTGTATTTTTGGTAGAGACAGGGTTTTACCATGCTGGCCAGGCTGGTCTCAAACTCCTGACCTCAAGTGATCTGCCCACCTTGACCTCCCAAAGTGCTGAGATTACAGGTGTGAGCCATCGCGCCTTGCCTGTTTTTGTTTATGAATCAGCGTCTCACTCTGTTGCCCAGGCTGGAGATCAGTGGCATGATCATGGCTCACTGCAGCCCGGACTTCCTGGGCTCAAGCCATCCTCCCACCTCAGCCCCTCCAAGTAGCTGGGACTACAGGCGCATGCCACCATGCCTGGCTCATTTTTGTATTTTTTGTAGAGACAGTGTTTCACCACGTTGCCTAGGCTGGTCTTAAACTCCTAGGCTCAATCAGTTCACCCGCCTCAGCCCCTCAAAGTGCTGGGATTACCACACTTGGCCAACATCATATTGTTATTATAAAAATAGTTGTGACCTTGCAGATCTTCCCTGAATGGATCTTGAATATCTTTAGGGGTTTGTGGATCACACTTTGTTTTCTGCTGTTCTAACTACTTCATAATTCAAGCAGATGTATATGCTGTGGTATTCATTCCCCGCTTAATGTTTGTTTAGATTATGAGTACTTTAATGGTAGACATTGGTGGCTTTATGCCTTTTATACATATCCTATCATGTCTGTTGGTGTGTTTTTATATAGTAAACAGGCAAAACATATTTGTAAATTAATAAATTTCTAGTATTGTCTATCTAGTTGAAATTTTCTTTGTTCTGAAACCAAGATGATTTTGAAATAATGTTTTAAAAAAAAATACAAACATTCAGACTGGAACAAAAATTTAAAAAATAATTCAGAAATAAAATAGCTTATTCTTCCCCAGGAAAGATTTTTCACTGTGGTCGCTTTTTTTCTGTTCCATAGTGTTAAAAACAAAATCCATAGATCTAGCTTTTTATCTGTCTTATTCTGGGGGAAAAAACCCTACAAAATCATTAATATAATTTTTAACGTATTGTTAATAGAAAGAATACTGTTCATTTTTTAGAAGCTATTAAGCGGTTTCATTTTTTTCTGGAGCACCTTAAGTGTTTGTTGTATATAAAATATGAGCAATTCACTAAAAAGCATATTGTAAATGTAAGAATTTACTTTTTGGGTAATTTCCACATCACTGATATGTCACATATTATCTAGGTAAAAGTTAAACAGACTTTTAAGACAGTGATAACAAATGTTGTTGAAGTGAATACCTATTAATGTGAAAAGTCACTGGGTTTAAGCAGAAGCAACTTTAATGGGATGAATGATTTTTGATTGTTCACTTGTTTTCATAGTATTGGGGATTTCAAAATAATAGGTACACAGGGTTTTGACTCAACTTGAACTTGTGGAGACATGTTGACCTTTATATCATATGGCATTCACTTTGGAATCACTTACATTTTTGTTTGTTTTCAAGGCATATTTCTCATTTTATGCATAAAGTTCCTTTTCCATCTCCTCAGAGACCACGGATTTTAGTTCAGGTGAGGTTTTTATGTTTTTGATTGGGGGACCTATGAGTTGTTATTGGCTCTGTCAAAATGTAACATAAGAATAACAATTTTGAATGAGGAAAAAAACCTAATGAGATTTAGAGAGAACCAGATACTATTCCCCATTGTAGTTTGGGCCCTTAATGTTTTATTGACTCCTCCCAGACATCTCCTGCTTTTCTTAGAGAAAGCGTTCAAGAATTAAAGAAGTGGGTTGAAGTAGACATTTTGAATACACAGAAAGGAACTTTTTTCCCCTAAATTTGTTGTAGGTATTTGAAAGTTTGTGCCTTTGGCAATCATATAATAAGTTAAATGTATTAGAATAGATATAAGGAAAAGTTATGTTTGCATAAATTTCAAAACATAGATAAGAGTAATTACATTATTATATTAATACAGATAAAATATCTAAAAAATATTATTTTGAACTTTATATTCAGTCTGAATATCCACATGTCATTTCTGTCTTGTTTCCTGGTATTTAGTGTAAGAAAATACATAGCACATTCAGTTTAAATAACACACAAAAGATTGTTTTATGGTGGAAGTTAACAAACTTTTTTGGTTATTGGTCATACAGTAAATATTTTGGTCTTTACTGATCATCTGATCTCTGTCACAACTATTCAGCTCTGCTGTTACAGCACAAGAGCAGCTAGGTAATATGTAAAGAATGAGCATGCCTATATTTCAGTAAAACTTTATTTACAAAAACAGGCAATCTATGGATTTGTCATGTAGGCCATAGGTTTTTTGACCCTGGTATTTTGGTGTTAAATGAATAATTTAGTCTTTCAGTGTGAATTTGTTAAAATGGCATCAGGGAAACCATTGAGGACAGAAGAAAAGAGGATTCACAGTAAGAAGAGTTAGTAGTTGGAAGGGGTCAGGAGCTGTTTTTTAAGATCTTAGTAAGTGATATAAATTGTTCTGATACTGGTAAATGGATATAGTGAAACTTCATGGGCATAATCATTATTCTAATATTTTTAACAGAAAGTGATGTTTTAAAGTTCATCTTTATGTTTCAAATTCTTTATTTTAAATCTTCTTCCAGTTATCACCACATGATAATCTAATTCTCAGTCAGCCTGTGTCTTCACCTCTTCCACTAAGGCAAGTAAAACCTCATTTCTATTTATTTTTCTCTCAATCTAGCATAACATTCAAATATTTTCTTTTTCCTAGCTAAAATTTCAAATGTTGATGGGAATACTTCTCACTGAACTACTACTACTCTAAATTTCTTTTACTTAATGTTTGGGTTGCAGTTATTAACTAAAAAAAGGAAATTTTTATAATAGTGTTTTGTATTTTGTGTATCTATTATCATCAAGTACCTACTATTGTGTAAGTGTGTGTGTGTGGTGTGTTTATATATGTAGATGATGAGAACAATTAATTTGAACTTTAACTAAACTCTGAAGAACATTCAAATGCAATTAATTTTTTCTTTTTAAAATGCAATTAATTTCCAAAAGAAAAAAAAGTGGTTCTAATTACTAAATTGTAGAATAGGACAATGTATTTTCTTACCTTAAAAGTTCAGAGAAATTATTAAGTATGTTTTCTCTACAGTATCCTTTCTTGAAAGTTGATTAGCTGTGTAATTTTTTCATCAGAGAAATGGTTACAGTTTGATTAAGTTGTACAGCAGATACCTAAGGGAGAGCAGCTGCCATCTTTGACATTAATTTTGTAAGAATTGCAGATTATTTCATCACTAGCTCTCAGCGCAGAGTGACAAATGTTTTAACCTTTGTTTGAGCTGAAAATAAACTAGAAACAATGACTGAGACTATGTATGTTACTCTAAATTACGTAAAGGACTTTTTTAGGTAACAGCTTTATTGAGTTATAATTCACATATCATATAATTCACCCAATTAAAGTGTATGATTCAATAGTTATATTCACAGAGTTCTGCAGCTATCACTGTAATAAATTTTAGAACATTTTCATCACCCTAGAAAGAAACTCTTTACCCTTCAGCAGTTAACTTCCTTAATTCCTCCCATCTCTAACATACATATACCCCTCTCCAGCCCTAGTCAACCACTAATCTACATTGCGTTGCTGTAGATCTGTCTATACTGGACATTTCATATAAATGGAATCATACAATATGTAGTCTGGCTTCTTTGACTTAATGTTTTCAAGGTCTGTCTATGTTGCCTCATGCATCAGTACTTTTTATTGCTGAATAATATTTCATTGTATGGATATATGTTTTATTATCTGTTTATCAGTTGATAGACATTTGGGATAGTTCCACATTTTGGCTACTATGAACTTACCCCAATTTTTTTGTGGACATATGTTTTCGTTTCACCAAGAGGCTTTTGTTACTAGTTTTGCTTTATTTAAAAGATTATTCCAGTGAAACTAGTTGTTTAGCATTATATAAACAAAATACTTGCTGGCTTACTGAACTATTTACTTTGTCAGTTCAGTATTTTGTTACTATATAGAAGGCCTAAGTTTATTGTTTTCATTATTAACTTGCTTTGTATGTGTATCTCATTATTTTGTACCTCTTGATTTCCTATTACTATTATCATTACAGTAGTAAAGATTATTCATAAAATTAAGTTTTAATGTGTATTTACCTTAAGGGAAGTGGGCCTGTAAGTCATATGGTTTTTCTGATAATTACAGTGGAAGATAGATCATGTCCAAAAAACTTCCATTTAAGGATTTGCTTTCAATCAAAGCATCCCTTTTATAAATTGCATTCTTTATTTGGACATTATGTACGTGACAAATCTTTTTACATGAAATGAAGCAGATGACTTTTCGTTTTCCATATTGGATACAGTACAAAAGAATGATTTTGGAATCTCCCAGAACTGCATTGTTTTCATAGTGTGTTTGTGATGCAGTGTTTTCCCTGCATCATAGCAGCAATCATGTTTAATGGTGAATATATAATACAAATTGTACCCTAATCAACATATATAATACAAATCCTACTCTAATCAACTACTTTTGCCCATTGTTTTAGATAATGAGGTGTTTGGATGATTATTTTATAATTATATATTTTTGTTTGGATTGACAGTGGTGGCAAGTTTTCAACACTACTCCAGAATTTAGGCCCTGAAAATGCTGTGACACTACTGGTGTTTGCAGTAACAGAACATAAAATTCTTATCCATTCCCTACGGCCATCCGTGCTTACTAGTGTGACAGAAGCATTAGTGTCTGTGAGTATCAGTTTCTTATTGGCAGTCAATTTAGTTTAAATTTAGTTTATTTATATAACTTAAAGTCATTTTAATGCTTAACTAAAATTCAGAGAGTAATGAATTTGTGTTTTTTGAAAGCAGTTTTGATTTCCTGACCATTAACTGTAGTTACAATTATTTAATTCATTATCAGGCATTAGACTTTAGGTAATACTTAAAAGACAGTTTTTTGTGTGTGCTGATAAATTATGCTTAAGTGTCAAAAAGGTAAATGCTCTCCTATCTTTTGTTTATCCAAGATGATTTTCCCTTTCCACTGGCCATGCCCGTATGTTCCTCTCTGCCCACTGGCTTTAGCAGATGTCTTGAGTGCACCATGTCCATTCATAGTAGGGATTGATTCAAGATACTTTGATCTCTATGATCCTCCACCAGATGTCAGTTGTGTTGATGTAGATACCAACACTATTTCTCAGTAAGTACATTTTAGTGATTCTACATCTATATTTTACAACTTTGTAGCATATGTATGTAACTGTATATTTTATGATTGTTAACGAGGGTTCTTTTAAGATATATTGTATTCCTTGTTATGTGGGGTAATCACCATCTTTGAATCAGACCTTATTATGCATCAGTGGAGTAGATTTAGAGTATTAAAGAAGGTTTTATTGGAAAGACTATACATTTTATCCTCAGGCTTTCAATATTTAAGAAACATTTTAATGTTAGGCTTGCTTAGAAATTTAGCCAAAGGGAGCTGGGCACAGTAGCTCACGCCTGTACTCCTAGCACTTTGGGAGGCCGAGGTGATCAGATCACCTGAGGTCAGGAGTTCAAGACCAGCCTGACCAACAAAGAGAAACCCCATCTCTACTAAAAATACAAAATTAGCTGAGCGTGATGGCGCATGCCTGTAATCCCAGCTACTCGGGAGGCTGAGGCAGGAGAATTGCTTGAACCCGGGAGGCAGAGGTTGTGGTGAGCTGAGATCACACCACTGCACTCCAGCCTGGGCAACAACAGTGAAACTCCGTCTCACAAAAAAATTAAAAAAAGAAAGAAAAAGAAAAAGAAATTTAGCCAAAGGGAAATTGAGGTTAGAAATAGAAAAAGTTTATTTCCCTTTAATGATATGAGTATAGGTGAAATCACAAATTGAATTAAAACACCATTCTTTAATATTTCAATCCTATTTCTAGTCTTTTATAATACTATTAGAATACTTAAATATAGGCTGGGCATGGTGGCTGATGCCTGTAATCCCAGCACTTTGGGAAGCCAAGGCAGGCGGATCACTTGAGGTCAGGAGTTCGAGACCAGCCTGGCCAACATGATGAAACCATGTCTCTACTAAAAATACAAAAATTAGCTGGACATGGTGGCAGGTGCCTGTATTCCCAGCTACTCGGGAGACTGAGGCAGGAGAATCGCTTGAACCCGGGAGGCGGAGGTTGCAGTGAGCTGAGATTGCACCACTGCACTCTGGCCTGGGCGACAGAGGGAGACTCCGTCTCAAAAAAAAAAAAAAAAAAATCATAGTAAAATAAATGCTGTAACATTTTAAAGTAACTGTAAAATTATACATAATTTCATTATCTTTACACCCTAGGGATGCAAGGATTTTATGTTTTCATCTCTTTGCATTGAAATTATATGTAAGTTATAGCTATTGGAACTATTTTTAAAGCCTTTTTATAATTCAGCATTGTTTTGTGTCCCTTATTTTCCATACTTAATCTATTCAGGGAAGAGGAAATTGATGCACTGTCCACATTGAACCCACAGGACATGCTTATAATAACTATGATTTAGTCTAATAAAGCCCCAAAGCTGGTACAGCTTTTACACTTAAATATGTAAATGTGAAGTAGGTTTTTCTCCCTTTTTTTAAAGAAATGGGGTCTCACTCTGTCAATCAGGCTGGAGTGCAGTAGCATGATCATACCTCACTGCCAAATTTCTGGGATCAAGCAATCCTCTTGCCTCAGCCTCCCAGGTAGCTAGGACTACAGGTGTGTACCACCAGGCCTGGCCACTTTTTTTTTTTTTTGAGACAGAGTCTTGCTTTGTCACCCAGGCTTGAGTGCAGTGGTGCAATCTCGGCTCACTGCAAGCTCTGCCTCCTGGGTTCACACCATTCTCCTACCTCAGCCTCCCAAGTAGCTGGGACTACAGGCATCCGCCACCACGCCCGGCTAATTTTTTTGTATTTTTAGTAGAGACAGGGTTTCACCATGTTAGCAAGGATGGTCTTGATCTCCTGACCTTGTGATCCACCTGCCTCAGCCTCCCAACGTGCTGGGATTATAGGTGTGAGCTACCATGCCCGGCCATACCTGGCTAATTTTTTTTTTAAATTTTTTTGTAGAGAAGGGGTCTTGCAGTGTTGTCCCAGCTGGTTTGGAACTCCTGACCTCAGGTTATCCTCCTCCCTTGGCCTCTCAAAGCATTGGGATTATAGGCATGAGCCACCACACCCAGTTTTTCTCCATTTTTAAATAAGAGCTTTTTATCTTAAAGCTTTTTTTGAAAAAAATTTTATTTTTTATTTTTCTGAGATGATGTCTCATTCTGTCACCCAGGCTCAGGTGCAGTGGCGTGATTTCAGCTCACTGCAACCTCTTCCTCCCAGGTTCTAGTGATTCTTCTGCCTCAGCCTCTCAAGTAGCTGAGACTACAGGTGCACGCCACCTGGCTAATTTTTGTATTCTTAGTAGAGATGGGTTTTCACTGTGTTGGCCAGGCTGGTCTCAAACTCCTGGCCTCAGGTGATCTGCCTGCCTCAGCCTCCCGAAGGGTTGAGACAGCCTAAAGCTTTTCGATTTAATTATGAAACCTTAGATTAGTTATCAGTCTTGTCATATGTCGAAACCTCAAGTGCCTAAACCATTAGAAAAGTTTAGCAGAAAATGAATATTCTCTTATAAAGCATGCATACTGTCAAAAAGTTTTTATTCATTGAAAGCCTAACCAAGAAAATATGAAATATATTTTATGCATAAAAGCCCTTTTACATATGGCATCAATAGATTCAATGGTTCTTTACCATCAACATTTCATTCTTTACCAGAACTGTTTAATACTTTCAAATACTAAAGTAATATAACTTTTCCTTGCCAGTTTAATGTTACATGATATAATATTTTTTAATTGAAATTAACAGTGGTAAGAGTGTATACTGATACTGTTTTTATTATGGTAATAAGTTGTATTTCCCCCCTTATAATGTCTCTTAATTTGTTAAAAGAATTTTCGCATCTGAGTGTGGTGACTCATACCTGTAATCTCCACACGTTGGGAGGCTGAGGCAGGAGGATCACTTGAGGCCAGAAGAGACCCCATTTATACAAAAAATTTAAAAATTAGAAGAATTTTGTCTTCCTACTTACTCTTTCTTTCTTTCTTTCTTTCTTTCTTTCTTTCTTTCTTTCTTTCTTTCTTTCTTTCTTTCTTTCTTTTCTTTCAGGTTGCTGAGGTCTGAACTCTTTTCTTTCTGCTTTGATCACTAATGAGTTAAAGAATCAGAGAAACATGAGTTGTTTGTGCTCATGAATTCTTGACATTATCACCCTCCAAACGGGTGGAGGACTAGACTAGCGAACTGACAGCTTTCTACTTTCCTTCAATTAGAATTTCTGAAGCCCCAGCCTGAAATTTGAAAGAAAAACAAATCCCAAGTGTGGAATTTTTGGTTTCTTTTTCCCTTACCTGTCTGTCTTAAGTATATATAATACAGACTATGTTTTAAATATTAAGAAATTTCTGAAGAAAGGGAAAGAAATTAATATATATGTACTAAGTGTAAAGCTACATATGTAGCCTAAGTTATCTCATGTGATTCTCCATACTTTGTGAGGTAGTTCTTTTTTTTTTTGGAAGCAGAGTCTCGCTCTGTCACCCAGGCTGGAGTGCAGTGGCGCAATCTTGGCTCACTGCAAGCTCCGCCTCCCAGGTTTATGCCATTCTCCTGCCTTAGCCTCTCAAGTAGCTGGGACCACAGGCGCCCACCACCATGCCCAGCTAATTTTTTGTATTTTTTAGTAGAGATGGGGTTTCACCGTGTTAGCCAGGGTGGTCTCGATCTCCTGACCTCGTGATCCGCCCGCCTCAGCCTCCCAAAATGCTGGGATTACAGGCGTGAGCCACTGTGCCCAGCAGAGGTAGTTCTTCTTAACTCTTCTGACAAATGGGGAAACCAAAGCTTAGATTTTTAAGCGGCTTACCAAAGGGCACATAGCTTATACTGTCAGAACTGGGTTTTAAAGCCATTACTGTTTGACTCCAAAACTAATGCTTTCTGCCACTAATTATTGGGTAGCTATGTAATATGTGTATGTCATAAAATAATATAGTAATCTTGTAAGTGGAAGTCATCGTGAGTATACATTTACTCATAAGATGATCTTTCTTATAAGAAGATGATCATAGACCAAACTCAAGTACTTCAAAAATTTCCCTTACGGCTGGGCACAGTGGCTCATGCTTGTAATCCCAGCACTTTGGGAGGCCGAAGCAGGCGGATCATGAGGTCAGGAGATCGAGACCACCCTGGCTAACCAGTGAAACCCCATCTCTACTAAAAATACAAAACATTAGCGGGGGGCGGTGGCGGATGCCTGTAGTCCCAGCTACTCGGGAGGCTGAGGCAGGAGAATGGCATGAACCCCGGAGGTAGAACTTGTAGTAGGCCGAGATCGCGCCACCGCACTCCAGCTTGGGCAACAGGGCAAGACTCCATCTCAAAAAAAAAAAAAATGCCCTTACCCAGCCAAGTTTTAGAGCGAAGATATCAAGAACAAGAGGCGGAAATTATGGCAATAACAGTAATTAGATGTGATCAGATGATACCAAGATGTTGGTCATTCATTTACGCCACAAACATATCCTGAGTGCCCTTTTTTGCTAGGCACTGGGAATAAAATGGCAAACCACATATTCTCCTTTCTTTTAAGACACTCGTAATTAAGTCTAGCAAGACAGGCACTATGCAGTGAATGGTAAGACACAGTGGGAAAACTGTGTTACTGAGTTTCATCAAGAAAATAATTTGAGAAGTGTTTCTACATTGCGTTCTTACTATAACAGAGGAACCTGTTGGTCACATTGTAAATGTAATCACACCTTCACAGCAGGACATCTGCAGTTTGACTCTGCCCTATCTTTATTTTTATTCTCATTTGTAGAAAGATAGAGGGGACAAATTCTAAGACAGTCATTTTTGTTTAGCTTAATCTTTCTTATCCCACTCTTTTTTTTTGTTTACTTTTCAAAGTGATATTTGCCCTTTTTTGTTCTGTAGGAAGTTTAGGGAATATAAAAAGTTCAGCAAGTTCCACTACACACCTGTGTTATGTTGTTCTGTGGTGGTTAGAATATGAGTGTTTTACTTTTCTTTTCTTTTTCTATACATTGTTCAAGTTTTCTAAAATGAATATTCATTGCTTTTGAAATAAAAAAACTGATTCAATAAAAAGTAGAGTCATCTGGGCACAGTGCCTCTTGCCTGTAATCCTAACACTTTGAGAGGCAGAGGCCAGGAGGATTTCTTAAGGTGTGGAGTTCAAGACCAGCCTGGGCAACAAAGCAAGACCTCATCTCTACAAAATAAAAATTAGCAGGCTGTAGGGGTGCGCACCTGTAGTCTCAGCTGCTTGGGAGGCTGAGGCAGGAGGACCACTTGAGCCTGGGACTGCAGTGAGCCGTGATCATGCCACTGCACTCCATCCTTGGTGACAGAATGAGACGTTGTCTTTTCTTTTTTTTTTTAAGTGGAGTCATTAAAGCTATCTTTAAGTCCAAATGCTTCGCAATGCTTTATCACCATGCTCTTTTCTACTCCTACCCCGTGTATGGTTTAGAGACCAACTGTGTTGTAATAGCTATAATAAAGGAGATTATGGGAGCCTGTCCCAGAAACAAAGATACAATAGTTCTTCCCTTACCCGTAGTTTGGCTTTCCATGGTTTCAGTTATCTGTGGCCAACTGCAGTCTGAAAGTACGTAAGTACAATACAATCAGTTATTTTGAGAGAGAGAGCCCACGTTCACATAACGTTTATATAAAGTATATTGTTATAATTCTATTTTATTATAAATTATTGTTATTGATCTCTTACTATTCCTAATTTATAAATTGAACTTTATCATAGGTATATATGCTTGGGAAAAAACGTAGTAAAAATGGGGTTCAGAACTGTCTGTGATTTCAAGCATTCACTGGGGGTCTTGGAATGTATCCACTACAGATAAGGGGGAAACTGCTTTATCATTTTTTAACAGATATCCTCTTTTATAGTTATATAAGTATTTCACAATGTACTTTATTCAAGTAATTTAATATTATAGGTTATTTCTTTTTTGAAAGAAACAAAAATGATCCTTACTTATGCTCTTAGGAAACTAAGAAACTAAGTATTTAAATATACCAAAGTATTTTGATAAGCTCTGTGGATCATGAGTTTACTGAAAGTTTTTGTAGTGCTTTTTCTTACAGTATGTAAGAAAAAAACTTGTAGGATTTTTCTAATATTTAGGTGTCTAAGCACACTTAAGTGGAGATTAAGAGTAAAGATCACCACATTAAGCTTTATGGTGATTAGCAAGATTCCAAAGCAACTGGAATTTACTCAGTATAAATATAAATTTGTGAGCTATATTTAATACAAGGTTCTACCCTCATACAAATTAATTTTTAAATATTCAACATGCCAGTTTACCCCATAGGATTTTTCTCTTGTTAATGCAAATATTTTGTATGTATTTCATTCTTCATTCAATGTGTTTAATCTTTTCCTATTTTTATATATAACAGATATATACCTTCCCCCTCCCAAAGACCATGTAACAAATATATTCCTGTTGTTATTTAATTTTAGAATTGGTGACAAGAAAAATGTAGCCTGGAAGATACTTCCAAAGAAGCCATGTAAAAATCTGATGAACACACTGAATAATTTGCATCAGCAATTGGCAAAATGTAAGTGGATAACTTCATTAAAGGAGGTAATTTAATCTGAAAAAGGGACTCCAATTACTTTGCCTTACTTATAAAAGAATAATATTTATTTTAACTAGCAGAAAGTGGTTTTACCATTTTAAAGGCAGATGATCATTAAAGCAAAATTTGTTAGAAGATGAATGAGAGATTTATAAAATATGTATTTTATATCTTCCAAATTTTTATAGAACCATCTTAGAATAACAACATTCAAAAGGATGTTAAGGTGGTTAATTTTACCATTACTGAAATACCATGAAAAAAATGTGGGGTTCCACCTTTATATTGTTTTTTTTTCCTCTTTTGAGACAGAGTCTTGCTTTGTCATCCAAATTGTAGTGCAGTGGCACAAACATGGCCCACTACAGCCTTGACCTCCTGGGCTCAAGTAGTATTCCCACTTCAGCCTCCTGAGTAGCTGGGACTGCAGACACGATGAGGCATTACGCCTGGTTAATTTTTTAATTTGTTATAGAGACAAATTATGTTGTCCTGGGCTCAAGCAGTTCTCCCTGTTCGATGTCTCAAAGTGCTGGGATTACAGGCATGAGCCACCGTGCCTGGCCTATTTTCTTCATACATAGAATAGAAAGTTAGTTTTGAAAATCTAAGACAAATGATGTAAACTACATTAGAAAATACTGATGATTTCAGTGGAGTAAGAGCTTTTCACCTTCAGTGGATCTTAATGCTGTGCTTATCTTTTTAAACATTTTTTAATTTTTTTGTGTGCCTATCTTAAAGTTTGAAAATCGAAGTTTGCCAATAGCATTAAGAAATTAATAAAATGAAAATTGATTAGGATGTCGAATATTTCTATTATATATAATAATATTTCTATTATATATAAGGATATATATAAGGATATATCTTGACCTGTCCAGAATTGCTGATGAGGAAAATTAAACCTTCATTTCTTTATCTAATCTTCTTGGTAGTATAGCAGATGACCCATTCAGAATCCATAACTTAATACTTATTATATAAAGTATGGTCAATAGTGATATGCAGTATTTGAGGTTCACATTTATGTATTAGGTAGAACATAAGCATAGGAGGTAGCCTACACCCTTGAGGATTCATCATAGTGTATAGTGTAGTTGGAAATAGACATGGATAAAAACAATATTTACAAAGTATACTTGATAACAAGTAGATAATTCCAAAGTAGCTCATAAGTATTGGGATATTAAACTAATGACATAAAACATAACAAAATTTTGCCTTATGGAACAAATAAATCATGCATGTAATATTATTTGTTACCTAGTTAATTGCTTTCTAAAAGTGTTTGCACTTCTTTTGAATAGCTGAAAAGCCCAACAGCTATTGTAGCAATATTTAAATATTATTAACATTGGCTGGGCAGGATGACTCAGGCCTATAATCCCAGCACTTTGGGAGGCTGAGGCAGGCAGATTGCTTGAGTCCAGCAGTTTGAGACCATCCTGGGCAACACGCTGAAACCTTGTCTCTACAAAAAGTACAAAAATTAGCTGGGCATGGTGGCAATGCACCTACTTGGGTAGCTGAAGTGGGAGATCACTTGAGCTTAGAAGGTCAAAGCTGCAGTGAGCCACGATCGTGCCACTGCACTCCAGTCTGGGTGACAGAGCAAGACCTGACTCAAATTATATATATATATATATATAGAGAGAGAGAGAGAGAGAGACAGAGAGAGAGAGAGAGAGAGAGAGAGAGTGTGTATGTGTGTATATATAAAGTAAATGAAATAGCCCGTTCAACTTTTATGAAAGGCAGAATCTCAGGGGTTGAAACTACAAACATTTAAATAATACTGATAATTAAGAACTGTATAACACTTTATAGCTTCAGAGCACATTCACACACATTCTTTTATGTTACAACTATGAGAATGAGGTTGAAGGAGGCATATAGTAGCTTCTCACAGATCATACAGTTAACAAGGATGAAGCTGGGATTAAAACCTAGGCTTTCTTGGCTGGGCGTAGTGGCTCACACCTGTAATCCCAGCACTTTGGGAGGCCAAGGCAGGTGGATCACCAGAGGTCAGGAGTTCGAGACCAGCCTGACCAACATAGTAAAACCTCGTCTCTACTAAAAATATAAAAATTAGCCAGACGTGGTGGTGCACTCTTGTTGTCCCAGCTACTTGGGAGGCTGAGGCTGGAGAATAGCTTGAACCTGGAAGGCAGAGATTGCAGTGAACCAAGATTGTGCCGCTGTACTCCAGCCTGGAAGACAGAGTGAGACTCCATCTCAAAACAAAAACAAAAACAAAAAAAACCGTAGGCTTTCTGGTTCCAATGCCTTACATTCTTCCAGTATTTTCACTTTTTTAGATAATAAGAACTCCTCCAAAAACTCTCGAAGATGATTAATTGTTCCTTATATTTTAAAATTTTGAAGTAATAACAAACTTTTTTTCCTGACCCTTTGACATTAGATGCTTCATGACATTTGAATAGAATGTATTTCCTACGAAGTACATTCTTTGACATCACTACAATGTAACCATGAAAATCAGGAAATTAACATCGAGCATTACTGTCATCCTAATCCTCAGACCACATTCAGGTTTTGCCAGTTATCATGATAATGTTCTTTTTATAACAAAAGGATCCAGTTCCAAATCAGGTTTTGTATGTAGTTTCAAGTCTCTTTATTTGCCTTTCCTCCTGAACAGTTCCTCAGATTCTCTGCCACCTTTGAAGATTATATTTACCATTGTAGAATTGTCCATGGTGTGGGTTTATCTGAGCATTCTCATAATAAATACAGGCCACCCATCTTTTTTTCTTTTTTTTGAGATAGGATGTCTCACTGTGTCACCCAGGCTGGAGTGCAGTGGTGCGATCACAGTTTATGGCAGCCACGAGCTCCCAGGCTCAAGTGATCCTCCCACCTCAGCCTCCTGAGAAGCTGGGACTACAGACACATGCCACCACACCCAGTTAATTTAAAAAAAATTTTTTTTTTGGTAGAGATGGGATCTCACTATATTGCCAGGCTGGTCTTGAACTTCTGGGCTCAAGTGATCCTCCCACTTCAGCCTCCATGCTAGTATTACAGATGTGAGCCACTGCACCTGGCCCAGGTCACACATCTTTGACAGGAATATCACAGAAGTGATGCTGTGCCTCTCTCATTGCGTCCTTGTGTCATATCGCACACTATTTTGTTTTGTCACATTATTGATGGAGATACTCACTTTGATCACTTAAGGTGGTGTCTACTAGACTTCTCTACTATAAAACTACATGTTTACTATCTAATGACTTTAGCATTGAATTGTCCAGGAAGAAGAATTGTTTTTTATATTTTAATCCTTGTGTGTTCTTCCTGTAGGTACTTGTATTAAAAAAAAAAAAAAAAAAAAAAAAGAGGAAAGAAGAACTGTTGCATTTGCCCTGTGCCCAATTTGCACAGGGTAAATGCAATAGTTCTTCTTTCCCTTTTTTTAAAGTCTGTTTTCAATAAGAAAGACACAAACATGAATGAATACAAGAGGGAATGTCACTGCCGCTTTGAAAAAGACATATCTGTAATATATAAAATATATATGTTTTATATATATTCATATGGAAAGAGTGTGAGAGCAAGTATGTGCACGTAACATGAAAAGTGGCTGGGCATGGTGCCTCATGCCTATAATCCCAGTACTTTGGAAGGCCGAGGCTGGTGGATCACCTGAGGTCAGGAGTTCGAGACTAGCCTCGCCAGCATGGTGAAACCCTGTCTCTACTAAAAATACAAAAATTAGCCAGGCATGGTAATGGGCACCTGTAATCCCAGCTACCCGGGAGGCTGAGGCAGGAGAATCTCTGGAGCCCCGGAGGTGGGGACTACAGTGAGCCAAGATCGTGCCACTGTACTCCAGCCTGGATGACAGACCGAGACTCTGTCTCAAAAAACAAACAAACCAGAACAAACAAACAAAACGTGCCAAGCTTTTGAGGGAAAGGGGAGCAATTTTTGAAAGAAATATTTTCATGTTTTCAAATGTACTAGTTTATGTATAGTCTTCAATGGTGAGAGAACAATGGAGACATTTCTATATGAAGATTTGAGAGATCTGGGTTTATGTTCCTTTCTTATTATTCTCTTTATTTCTGTGTCAGGTCATTTCCATTCTCAGGGCATGTGCAAAATGGTAGTGGTGTGGGAGGTATAGATGACATGGTTGTTCAGATTCTTTCTGAACAATGCCAATACTCGGTGAGCCTATGAATGATATGTATTCTGACATATATTTATAGTTGAGCAGCTTTCTGATATTCTGTTGCTTTCTGGGTTATAATCATTATTAACTTATATGTAGTTATTTTAGAACATGAACTTTAAAAAAATTTTTTGTAGAGACAGAATCTCTCTATGTTGCCCAGGCTAGTCTTGAACTCCTATCCTCAAGTGATCCTCCTGCCTTGGTCTAGGATTACAGGCTTGAGCTGCCATGGCTGGCCTGAACGTTTTTTTTTCCCTGATAATAGTGAGATAAGCAGAGGTAACTTTGTGTTTAATTTGGATAAAATTTACTCAACGGAGCCTACAAAATGCTATGGCAGGCTTTGCTAAGGTTTAAATGTGATTAAGTTATGTAAACAAAGAGTTGAGGTAGCTTGGGTCCTTTTGAAAACACAACAAAATTATACTGGTACTATCATGAGTGTTTTGTGAGTTCGGAGAAAACACTAACACTCTGTGTCTTCACAGTGCAGCAGAGACCGAGAGATGATGGACTAATGGATTTAGCAATGAATGACTATGATTTTAATTCTGGAAAGAGGTTGCACATGATAGATTTGGAAATCCAAGAGGCATTTTTGTTTTTCATGGCCTCTATTTTAAAAGGTTACAGATCATACTTAAGGCCAATAACACAAGCCCCATCTGAGACAGCCACAGATGCAGCCTCTCTCTTTGCCCTACAAGGTGAGTGATTGCATAGTTTTAAAGCTTTCATGTCATTGAGCTTAACTTTGTGATGACTCATTTGCCGTCTGTGTTAATAGCTCATATTTATGAGAATACATACCTGTTTTGAGGAGAACGTGAATACCAGCTTTGTTGGTTACCCATTTCCATAGGACTAGTTATTTTTCAGACATATTAGATATAATTCCATTAGCAGATATGCAGAAGATAAGTATAGAGCCTCCCAACCATATACCGACTGCATTTGTGTGTCACATATGTGTTGAGATACTGATACTTTCAGCTTTCAGAGCAGTAGGCAGTGTTGGGGATACAGAGGAACCCCTGGAATGGTCACCTCCAGGCGTGAATAACCTCATTTGTTTTATTTCAGTATACTTTACGAATATTTTCAAATATTGGGTACTTTACAAATATTTACAAGTATTTCCTATCTGTGCCATGAAGTAAAAAAAGTTGGGAAGTTCTGGAGTGCAACCAGTTTTATAATACATATTTATTTTCTTTTGTAGTATTTAACATTTGAAAGAGAAATTCATTTAATAAGTATATATTGAGTACCTCTGAATGCTAGGTACTGAATAGTGGTATGCAAAAGAGACATGGCCAAAAAAAAAAGTAAAAGATGAGAGTCATGGTTATTTCTCTCAGAGAGCTTATAGTCAAGAGGATAGGCGATTGGAAATAATGAGTGAACAACTTCAGTTCACAACCTCATATCACGGAAGGCTATTCTGAAGAAGTAACATCTGATCCATGATCTGAAAGATGAGTAGAAATTAGCCAGACAAAGGTAAAGTAGGAGAGTGTTTTAGGCAGAGAGAACAGTTTACACAGTCCCTGAGACTGGAAAGAGCTTGAATTCCTGGGCCTGAAAGAAGGCCCAAGTGCAGTGTAACTGAGCATAGTTAGTAAGGTGAAATCAGGAAATAAACCTTTTCTCTGTTTTCAATAAGTAAGACACAAACATGAATGAATACGAGGGAATGTTACTGCTGCTTTGAAAAAGCCATATATATATATATATATTTTATATATATATATAGTGTATATTTATATGGAATGTGAGAGCAAGTATGTGCATATAATATGCAAAGCTTTTGGGGGAAAAGAGAGCAATTTTCAAATGTACTAGTTTATAATATTCAAGATGGTGAGAGAACAATGGAGACAGTTCTGGATGAAGATTTGAGAGATCTGGGTTTATGTTCCTTTATTACTGTTCTCCTATTTCTTTGTCAGGTCATTTCCCCTCTCAGGGCACATGCGAAATGGTAGTGGTGTGGGAGGTATAGATGACATGCTTGTTCAGATTCTTTCTAGTGCAAATATTCTGTGAATCTATGAATGATATTATATATTCTGACATTATATATTTATGTTGAACAGCTTTCTTAAGAAGCCGGGACCGGTCACATCAAAAATTCTATAACATGATGACCAAAACACAGATGTTTATTCGCTTCATTGAAGAATGTTCTTTTGTTAGTGACAAAGATGCAAGCCTGGCATTTTTTGATGATTGTGTAGATAAAGTAAGTAACGGTACATCTACAGTGCCCTAACTTATTTTGTGTTACTGTTATAAATGTTATGAGTTATAGTTTCTATTTATAGCTTTTAATGAAATCGAAATTAATTTCATTTTCATCATTGACTGCTTATAATGCAAGTTTTGGTAGCCTGCTAGAAATTATAGAATGCACCTCTTACAATTACCTTGTAGAATTTTACTAAATCATAAGTTTTGTTTTAGCAATCAGGTCCCTAACCCTCCCTGCCCACTTACAAAACCAGGAATTTTTTGCCAGCCTGTGCACCTCCAACTTAAACATCTGTAATTTTCACCTCTCCTTTTTGTCAGAGATGGGTTATCACATGCTGAAAGTAGGTGTAAAAGTATCATAAATGTTTTACCTGAGTATTTCTACAATTGAGAATGAGTTTGTAGCTTAAATTCGTTAGTTCTATAATTTTAAATTTATATATAAAACCTTTCTGTTCAGTCCTAATATCATTAGGTGGGACAGAGCAAGGCAGGTATTCATGCTGGAGAGAGAGAAGGTAGGGTAGTCCAGAGAGGGGTTTCAAAACCTGAATAGGGTGGAGAGAGAGGAACAGCCTAGCTGGAATGTCAGAGCCCAAGCCAGGTAAGGAGAATATTCCTGGAGAGGCATGTTCTAACATGTAGAATCAGAGGACAGGCAGTTTAAAGAGGGTGTCCATGTTCAGGGGCAGACTGCTGCAGGGTGTCAGAACCTAAACAGGATGAGAAGAGCACTCATACAGAGGTGACCACACGTGGAGTGTCAGAGTCTGAGCAGGGTGGGGAGAGTATCCTCACGGGGATAGCAAGGGAAGCAAATGAGATGTCAGAGTTTCATCTAGATGAGAGAGGTGTCAGCATGGTGGTGCAGGATTTGGTCTGGAAGGGGTTGTCAAAACCACATTAAGGTGAAGAAGTCATCTGCATGGGAGAGGGGTGGTGGTAAAGATGGGAGAATGTTATATATTGGGGAGATTGATCAAATAAATGTATTAAAGGTAATAAAGTTTCTTATTGAGAGGAAAGATTTACAAATATAGAAGTGAAGAAAACTAAATTGAACCCTGTAGTGTTGGTGTAGAGTTGGAGATTTGGTGTAGTATCATTGGTTTTCAGTGATAGATACAGAAATAAATGTCGATGTAAGTATGTGTGTCTGGGTGTATACACACATATATTCCCTACCTCTGTACATTAGGTGGACCTGGAAGCAGCCACACCCCAACAGCAATGAGCACACCTAATGTATAAATTTTGGCTTCTAAATACCCGATAAGCCCTAAAGTATCTTGTGCTAGAAAACCAAGAATTGCTCCAAGAATGATGGAGACATGTTAAAACAAAATACGTATACAGAAGTCAATTTGAAGGGATTTCCACAGGCAAATCTAGGACAATTTGAGCATCAAATGTTAGTAACAGATTAGCCCATTGAGTAAAATAAGAAACCATGAGTCTATACAGATATCAATCAATTGAAAGTCATCTGATGAGAAGCAGGATCTTACATAGTTATTAATGACCTCCCCACAAAATGCATATTAATGACAAAAGGGAAAAGAGTAACTTTATAGTGGAAAAGCCTGGCAAATACCATTTTAATCAAGTTATCAAAATGAACAGCATCTGCAACGGGACAAGTCAACATTTTGTTCCCCTAATAGGTTACAATGAGAATGCAACCTCAATTCTGTAATATTCCTGCAAAAATGTATGACCTATATAATCTCAAAGAAATACCAAACACATATTAAATGATATTCTACAAAATACCTATTCTGTAATCTACAAAGTATTAAGATTAAGAAAATAAAGTAAAAATGGAGAAGCTTGTCTAAAGTGAAGTAAGAAGACTTGACAACCAAATGCAGTGCTTAGTTAAGAACTAGATCCTTGCCGGGCGCGGTGGCTCACACCTGTAATCCCAGCACTTTGGGAGGCTGAGGTGGGCGGATCACAAGGTCAGGAGATGGAGACCATGGTGAAACCCCATCTCTACTAAAAATACAAAAAAATAGCCGGGCGTGGTGGCGGGCGCCTGTAGTCCCAGCTACTCAGGAGGCTGAGGCAGGAGAATGGCATGAACCCGGGAGGTGGAGCTTGCAGTGAGCTGAGATCACGCCACTGCACTCCAGCCTGGGCGACACAGCGAGACTCCGTCTCAAAAAAACAAAAAAAAAAAAACAAAAAAACAAAGAACTAGATCCTTTAGGCATAACATTATTAGGTTAATCGACAAAACTTGAATGTAGTTTGAGGATTACATAGTAGTAATGTATTAGTGTGTTGATTTCCAGTAATAATATATCAATGTTAATTCCCAGTTGATTGTATTTCTGTAGGAGAATGTCTTTGTAGGAAGTATAAAAGTATACAGGAGTGATGATAGGTCATCAGCTCAGCAGCTTACTCTCAAAGATTAAGGGAAGAAGTTACTTATACTAAAACTTTCCTGTAAATTTGTATTTAAATAGGTATATCGTATCCATGATCTTATGGCCATGATAATAGAAAAAAGGAATAAATGAAAGCTTTATTATATATGATCACAACAATTTGTAATGTTAAGATTATTTAAAGAAGTTCATCACTTTCAAATTTATGTGACTGTGAAAGAAAATCAGTGAGTTTTTTTTTTAACGCAACAGCCAAAATACAACTTATCCCTTGATATTCAGAAATTGGTTCAATTCTTAGTTTAACATGAAATTGGCCTTACTGATTGTTAAATAAGTACCAAATGTGTCTTATAAAAATGAGAAGTGATTCTCACTATGAATAGGAAAATAGTATGGTAGGAACAACACACTACATTGGGAATCAGAAGTACTTTAATCTTGACTATTATACTTGTGACTTTAGTCATTTAGTCTTTATATGTTGTTTTTTTATGTATGTTTTTAAAATGTTTTGAGGATAAATAATTATAGCTGCCTATCTCATAGTGTTCAGAGTAGTGTTGTATAAACTAAAAAGTAGAAAATATTATGACTATTTTTGCCTGTAACTGGATTTTATTCATGTTTATAGATTAATGGTTCATTTGGTTTCTCATTTCATAACAGAAATATTCAATATTTGAATGATTTGTACATATGAACAGCAGGAATACATTCAGAGCCTTGTAGACATCTACCTTTTCCTTCAATTTAGAACACTTGAGGGATGATTGATACAGAGAAATACTATTTCTGGTGCTGTTAGGGAATTAACAAATGAAAGTATCCAGAAATATCATCCCTAGTTCTTTCTTGAAAATGCTTTGGAATAGGAAAAAGATGGATACATGCCATTACCTGCTTAAAATTCTCAATTCATCTTCCCGTAGAAACACTGTTATAAATGGTGATTAGCTATACTTCAAATGGTAGCAGTGTTTTGCTATGAATACGTGTTAAATTTTTATAAGTCGGGCATGGTGATATGCACCTTTAATCCCAAGAGCAATTACTACCAGCTACTCAAGAGTCTGAGTGGGGAGCCCAGGAGTTGGAGTCCAGCCTGGGCAACATAGTGAGACCCCGTCTCTAAACAAAAACCAACAACAACGAAGTATTAATTTTGTATGTGTGGAATGATATGCTAACCACTTTTTAAGACATTTTAAAAAATCAGATTTATTGAGATATACAAACAGTAAATACATCATTAATGTACAAAGTTTAATGAGTTTTGGCAAATATATATTTCCATGTAACCCATGACTTCAGAGTATTTTCATCACCCCAGAAAGGACATTGTTTTGGGGGAAGATTTATTTTCTACATTTTGAATAACCTACTTACAAACAGACTTGTGGAACCCTGCATTTTGTATGTTGAGCTCTGGTCTATAAAGCTTTGAAAACCTGGGTTGTTTTCTTTATTATTTTTTATTTTTGAGACAGGGCCTCCCTTTGTCACCCAGGCTGGAGTGCTGTGGCACGATCTCAGCTTACTGTAGACTGGACCTCCGGGACCCAAGTGATTTCCCACCTCAGTCTCTTGAGTAGCTGGGACCACAGGCGTACGCCATCATGCCTGGCTAATTTTTTGTAGAGACAGGGTTTCCCCGTGTTGCCCAGGTTGGTCTTGAACTCCTGGACTTAAGTGATCCTCTTGTAGTAGCCTCCCGAAGTGCTGGGTTTGTAGGAGTGGCCACCGCTCATGGTGAAAACCTGTTTATTTTGAAGAGATACTGTAATAGCTCCTTGACAGTTTTGTCTTCATTTGAGTATTATACCAAGAACTTGTTTTTCAATATTTTAATCAAAGTTTTGTGTTTGCCTTATTTGGCACTTCTGTGAGGCCATTCTAGTGTTGCCATAAAGAAATACCTGCATCTGGGGAATTTATATTAAAAAAAAAAAGGTTTAATTTGCCCCTAGTTCTACTGGCTTTATAGAAAGCAAGGTGCTGGCATCTGCTTCTGGTGAAGCCTCAAGAAACCTACAGTTATGGCAGAAAACCATGGGGAGACAATGGGGAGCCAACATGTCACATGGCCAGAGGTGGAATGAGAGAGTGGTAGAAAGTGCCGTATGCTTATATAAAACAGATCTTGAGATAACTCACTCACTACCACAGAGACAGAACCAAGTTATGAGGGATTTGTCCCATGATCAAAACACCTCCCACCAGGCCCCACCTCCAACATTAGGGATTACATTTCAACATAAGATTTGGAGTAGACAAATATCCAAACCATATCAGTGCTTACAAAATTAAATATTGGCAATAAATAGAAAGGTGTGCTTTAAAAAAGAATTCCTCTACATTTTTTATAGGAACAATTTTTTTGTGTGTATAAAGATGATGTTTCTGTCTGGCATTATGAACTTTGAATGATTTTCTCACAGGTGTTGGGCTTCCATTGGTTGTATATATGTTCTCACTGAGCTTCCCTTAAGAACAGTGGTATACATTTGTGTAATTGTTGTTCCTTGTGCGAACCTTAGTGAATCATAAGGGACCAAATTGGTAACCACGGTTTTGCCAATAGCATGCTTTAGCCAGTAAATTTATTAATCCACATGAGAACACTGAATTAGTTGTCAGAATCCAAGTAACAGTGAGAAGAGAGAAGTCTTATATTGTTCCCTTTTATTTTTGGCCTATTTTATATATCCTATTCACAAGTTTCTGTTTTAGCTAAGAACTCAGGATTCCTAGCTAAGTCACATGATTTAAATAAATATTGATGTCTAAGATATACAAGATTTGTAATTTTGCTGACTAGGGTATTACGTCCTAAGGAGCATATCTTAGTGCTCATAATTAATACATTATGTTGTCTAGGATTTTCTGTAGGCCACCTGTTGTTTATGTGATGATAGTCCATGCAGAAGATGACTGGAATCATTGCTTAAAGATTATGAATTCTGAGAAGTCTCGAAAAATAAAATTCTATTAAATGTGTAATCATTGTTTCTAGGTAGACTATTTTCCTAAAATGTTATTTATCTATTCGAAGTCTAGATCTAACAAAAGATCACTTATATATATGAATTAACATTATACTTAAATATTTTAATGACTACTCAGAAAATCAAAACTGAAAATTAATGCATTAAAACATAGTTACTTGTATTTGCTTTATTATAATTCAAGAGACTCTTATTAGAGAAAAAATAAATTGTCACAAGATTAAAAATATATCTTGGTTTTTTTTTTTTCTTTTTTTTTTTTTGAGATGGAGTTTTTGCTCTTGTTGCCCAGGCTGGAGTGCAGTGGCATGATCTCGACTCACCACAACCTCCGCCTCCTGGGTTCAAGCAATTCTCCTGCCTTAGCCTCCCAAGTAGCTGGGATTACAGGCATGTGCCATCACACCTAGCTAATTTTGTATTTTTAAGTTTCTCCATTTTGGTCAGGTTGGTCTCGAACTCCCGACCTCAGGTGATCCGCCCATCTTGGCCTCCCGAAATGCTGGGATTACAGGCATGAGCCACCGCGCCTGACTCAAAATATATCAGTAAAGTTCATATGTAGTTAGAGCAGAGGTTAATTGTATCCCTGGTGGTGTTATTAACCAGAACTCTCTGAAATGTAAATAATTATACAATGCTGTTACTGCCTTTCATGTTTTGATACCACAGTAAGTGACTCACAAAAAATCAGTGCTTACTATTCATCTGCATATGTTTTCTAGATATCAGTAACACTTTAAAAAGAATAATTTTTGTGAGGGTTATTCCTTAGTTGAGTAACTTTGAGCTTAAGTTTTTAAGTGAACAAAACTCTTACTTCTGGCAGTTTAACTATAGAAAATAAATAACTAAGTATACATTAACTGTCTCATGGTTCATAACTACTATTGAACAAAAATTAGACGTGTGGTACTATTATTCACTTATTCTTACATGGTATATTAACTCTTTTGATCTTAGTATATCCAAACAAAACACTTGACTGACTTTAAAAAGCTGGAGTGGGTAATATTGAATAGAAATAAGAAAAACAATATATGAGAATTATGTGTTTCATTTATGACTAATTTAAGAACCATGTGTTCTTGTTCTTCATATGATTATATTTTAAATCATTACAATCTGTTCCTGTGGGATGGTGCTTAACTAAAGGCAGTTTTGTGTAACAAATAGTCTGGTAAGATTTTTTCTTGGTTTCCCAAGAATCCATTTCCAGTGTTTTCTGAGCATATTAATGTCTTGTGGGAAAATATGAAAATTATTTTAATTTTATCCTGCAGTGGGTGTTGGATTTCTTTTTCTCTCAATAGAGACAGATGTCACCATGCTTTCCAAAAGACAGAGATGTCCAACCGATAAATGTAGGATTTATTGCATGGCTATTTTTATAATGTTAAAATGAGATTTTATTGGTATATAAGTAAAAGGAAGTACTTTTACCAAGCTATTGAGTCTACAGTGCAAAATTTTAATATTTATATAGACTTCACCGAAAACTAGAGCAGTTGTCCTGGACCCCACACTTTTTTATGAGAACAATATGGCTGGAGAATGGAAAGTAGGCGCCAATATGGAGAGGGAGAAGCTGCTAAAAAAAAGAGTGAGAACTATTAAATAAATAAACATTTGCTGAGCATGGTGGCTCATTCCTGTAATCTCAACATTTTTGGGAAGCTGAGGCAGAAGGATTGCTTTGAGACCAGGAGTTCCAGACCAGTCTGGACAACATAGCAAGACCCCATCCCTACCCCCAAAAAAAGAAAGAAAAATTAGCTGGGTGTGGTGGCACGCGCCTGTAGTTGTAGCTACTTGAGAGACTAAGGCAGGAGGATCACTTGAGCCTAGGAGTTTGAGGTTGCAGCGAGCTGTGATTGTACCATGACATTTTAGCCTGGGCAACAGAGCAAGACCCTGTCTCAAAAAAACCATTAAGAATCATAATATATAGGCTGGGTGCAGTGGCTCATGCCTGTAATCCCAGCACTTTGGGAGGCCAAGGCAGGCGGATCACCTACGGTCAGGATTCCTGACCAGCCTAGCCAACATGGTAAAACCCCATCACTACTAAAAATATGAAAATTAGCTGGGTGTGGTGGTGCGTACCTGTAGTCCCAGCTACTTGGGAGGCTTAGGCATGAGAATCACTTGAACCTGGGAGGCGGTGGTTCTGGTGAGCCAAAATTGCATGACAGCACTCCAACCTAGGTGACAGCAAGATGCTGTCTCAGAAAAAAAAAAAATCATAATATTTATACGATTTAGTAGCCTGATTCTTTTCTCATTTATTGTTATTTTGTGAATGTTTTTCTCATTATTATAATTCTGAATCATGTCCTAATTTTTATCTAGTTCACTGTATGGATATACTATTAAAAACATTATTTAATCCAAGAGAGTATAGCATATAATGCTGTGAAATTATCAATAATTTATATAAGAAGATTTTGAATGTATTGTTTCCTTTAAGTGTTAGAAAATTTTTAAAACTCATCTGTGTTCTTTTTTGGTATACTCTGCCCTAAGTCCTTATCTTAAAGGTTTAACTTGTTAGTAATTCCTACTCTTCCACTTAATCCACATGGTATATGATATTTCTAACCTAATAAAGTTCTGTGAAATGTATTTTGTCATATGTATGACATCCTTTTTTATTAATATCAATATTATGCCCTTTAGTTTATGAGCTCTTGTGGGGCAGTTTAGGTTCTACGAAGTTTTCGTTTTTTCTGGATATTACCTTGCCATCGAGTACCTAGTAGAAACAGTACTACTAAAGTGCTTTCAATATTGATATGACTACAGTTTAACTCACATGTACTTCTACATATTCTGAAAGAGTTTAGGGAAAGTTGTTATATTTAGTATAAATTTTTAAAATATATAGAATTCACTATTCTTATCACACAGACACACATGTACATGGATTTAAAAAATATTTCTTGATTACAGTCTCATGATTCAAATGCAAAACATTTGCATGTAAAAAGGTATATTCAAATATAAAAAGGTATATATTCATCTGGGTCCTATTCCATCCTTGTCTACCCTATTCTTTTCCTCTTCCTCATATAGGTACTTTTCTTAGTAGCTTTCTAGTATTTCTTTATGTAAATATAAGCAAAAATGAAAGGCCGGGCGCTGTGGCTCACGCCTGTAATCCCAGCACTTTGGGAGGCCGAGGCGGGCAAATCACAAGGTCAAGAGATCGAGACCATCCTGGCCAACATGGTGAAACCCCGCCTTTACTAAAAATACAAAAATTAGCTGGGTGTGGTGGCACACACCTCTAGTCCCAGCTCCTCGGGAGTCTGAGGCAGGAGAATCGCTTGAACAGGAAGGTGGAGGTTTCAGTGAGCTGAGATCGCACCACTGCATTCCAACCTGGTGATAGAGCAAAACTGTCTCAAAATATATGTGTGTGTGTGTGTGTGTGTGTGTGTGTGTGTGTGTGTGTGTGTGTATTTTCCTCGTTTCTTATTCAGAAAGTAATATACTATTTACAGTTTGCACTTTGCTATTTTCACTTAATTATTTTGGCGCTCATAGAGAACTTGCTCACTCTTCTTTTTTAATGGCTGTTTAGTATCCATTGTGCAGATGGTTTATTTAACCACTTCCCTTTATGTGAACACTTGGCTAACCAATGTGGCTTTTTAATATATGTTTTTAAAACTCCTTTAGGTGGATATGGACAAGAGCGGTGAAGTGCGACTTATAGAACTGGATGAATCTTTCAAAAGTGAACATACTGTTTTTGTAACACCACCTGAGATCCCCCACCTACCCAATGGTGAAGAACCCCCTTTACAGTACAGGTATTCAAGAGGCAGAATGTTTGAGATTGAAAGAGAGAAGCAATCCACCATCTGTGACGTAGCTTTCTAAGGACTGTGGTATTTTCAAAAATCCAAACTTTACAGATCCCTAATTTTTAGGTGGTAAGCAAGCTTATCCCACATCCATTATTAAGCTTTGAGGTATAAAAAGAAAACATATATAATTTTGCATAATATAGACTTGGGAAGCTCTCTAATGATGTCTGCATAAGTATCTGTCCTTGTAAATGTTGATTACATTCAGTTAGACTCCCCACCTCAAATGCAGCACTTTTATTATAGAATTTTGATTTTTTTTTCATTAAAACTGGTTTCCTCACTTTCAATCCTTTTTCATCTCATACATACACTGATTAATATAACCTTGGTTTACAAAAAGATTTAATCTAATTTAGAGTCAATCTTTGTGGCCTTGATTTGTACAATATAATTTTTTAAGTTACTAATTTTTGTCATGAGTTTTAAGTCATGGAAATTCAGAATTATTGGAATTGGTCATTGTTAATTTAGGAAATGTGGTTAGACACTGTGCTAAGTATATAGACTTGAATGATATATTGTCTGTGCCTTCAAGTCTAGTGAAGAAGAGAGAAAAGTCCTGAGCACAGTAAAATAAGGGCTATGATAGAGGTGAATGCATTATTTAGTTTCTAATATACATTTATTTTTACTTAAAATTGTAATTTCTTTTAGAGTTTAAAAGATTTCTTAATTCTCCAATAATACTTTCTTTGTTTAAATATTCTAAAACCATTTCACATCTATCACCCTTTAAATCATAGTTTGTTATTTTCATTGAAAAAGGATTTTTCAAGACATCTTTGTTTATGACTTGGATTAAATTCTTCTTTTTACAGATGAAAAAGTGATGTGATAAATGTTTATGAATGTTGATTAATAAGAGGCCACTTGATTTCTACTCTTTTCATCCAGTGATGATATTGTTCATATCACTTTTTAAATGTCTTCTGTCGAAGATATTTAAAATATTTCTCTTAATTTCTCTCTTCCTCTCTTTTTCTTTCTAAACAAGTTCTCATTTTTTAATCTCTTTTGTACTTTATGCTTATTTGTTTTTTCGTATGTGTCACTAACAGAGTTTTGTGTTTCTGTGGTTTGGTTTTAACTTTTTTAATTTAAATTTTACTTTTAGATTTAGTCCTTTAACGCTAAGAAAATTTGGCCAGGCACAGTGGCTCATGCCTGTAATCCCAGCACTTTGGGAGGCTGAGGTAGGCGGATCACTTGAGGTCAGGAGTTCAAGACCATCCTGGCCAACATGGTGAAAACCCTGTCTCTGCTAAAAATACAAAAATTAGCTAGGCGTGGTTGTAGGTGCCTGTAATCCAAGCTACTTGGGAGGCTGAGGCAGGAGAATTCCTTGAACCTGGGAGGTAGAGGTTGCAGTGAGCCAAGATCGTGCCACTGCACTCCAACCTGGGTGACAGAACGAGACTTTGTCTCCAAAAAAACCGCATTATTTCAGCCTGTGCCACATAGCAATACCTTATCTCTACAAATGATTTTTAAAAAATAGCTGGGCATGGTGGTGCACACCTGTGGTCCCAGCTACTCAGGAGGCTGAGGTGGGAGGATCACATGAGCCTGGGAGGTTGAGACTGCAGTGAGCCATGATTGAGCTACTGCACTCCAGCCTGGGCGACGGAACAGACAAATCAAAAAATAAAATAAAAAGAAAATTACTTATCTGGAAACATTTCTGTTTTTTTAGAATCTGTCATTTTTTTTCTTCAGACTACTCATATAATTTTGGTGTAATCATAACCATAATTGGGAAAACACCGTAAATGTCCTTAATGATCACAAAGTCTGCCTCATAAGAGATTACTCGTAAACTTATATTGTCTATGTAAAATAATGAGGCATTTGAAATAAGACACACAAAATGGTCTTATTATCTTATTATATACAATGAATTTTTTAAGGGACATGGTTTTCCTGGATTTCTTTGCTGTTTCCTACTCAACATTGAATCATTGCTAGTATTTTCTTATTCTATGGAATTCGACTATAGTAATGTATAAAAAATACTGTCTACCCTCATTTATTATAGTTAGATTTCTTCCTAATGGAAACTATTTATATGCCTTTAAGAAAATATTATATAGTATTCTTAAACAGGTTAAGTGTATTGCTCAGGAGGCAATTTTGGTTTCTTTCAGCATATCTTTTTCCTAACTGCTGCCTTTCACTTATTTACTTACCTATTAATGAAGTGTCACTATGTTGTTCAGGCTAGAGAGCAGTGGCTATTCACTGGCAGAACCATAGTACACTACAGCCTTGAATTCCTAGGCTCAGGCGTTCCTCCTGCCTTAGTTTCCTGAGTAACTGGGATTATAGGCACGCACTAACTGCACCCAGCCTAGCTGCTAGCTTTTAAATGTCCAGAGCATCTTGATTTAGCACCCTTATTAGGTTTACCTCCTAATAGAGCACCTATTCTAACCTTTTCTTCCTCTTATTTAACCTTCTCAGTTTTCTTTCTCATAAATGATGCCTTGAACCTACTAGCTAACCTGACAAACCAATTCATGAGAATGTGAGAGCAAGGTCTGGTGTGCTAATGTGCTAAACCTAAGGTTGTTATTTGCATCTTTCTAAGAAGGGAAGTTCAACAGTAAATATGTTAATCCAAAGCAATGACATTAATGATTGCCCTTTTTGAAAGAGTCCTAGTTTGGTGGACCTTTTACCAACTGTCATATTATCTAATATGTTTGCTATGTATTAACAGGAGTACTAACTTTTAAAAGTTTGCTTAAGTTACCTTGGAGTTGGATGTCATGTTCATTTATGTTTTTCCCTTTTCCTCAAAAAATAACTTGAGTCTGGATTTGGCTATTACATTTCTAGTTATTATAGTAAGAAGAGCAACATTAGCATGAATATTTATTGAGTACATATCATAGCCTGACGAAGAAAGATAGTTAAATTCTAAGTGAAGAAGTTATTGGTTATAATTATATTAACCTGTAACCACTGTGATCATCTATGTGTGCTTGAGAACTGTTTTTCCTTTTTTTGTCTTTTCTAAAACAGCTATAATGGATTTCCAGTTCTTAGGAACAATTTATTTGAAAGACCTGAAGGATTTCTACAAGCAAAGAAGAACAAACTGCCTTCAAAATCAAGTAGTCCTAATAGCCCTTCGCCCATGTTCAGAAGAACAAAACAGGTACTTTATCGCATTCTTCATATAATCAAATTTTAGAACAAGAAATAAATTGAATATTTATCCTCCTATAATATGCTTTATCACTTCTTATATAACTATTACTAGATTATTGTGTTCCCCAAAGCACTCTGAAGATACAGTAATCTGACTTCAAGAAATTAACTAGTTCTCTTGTCCTAGAAATTTATTTTATATGCTGTTTAATACAGGTGCAAACAGAAACTTGAAAACACTTTAATTACAGACATATTTTGTTATGGAAACATTATAAAAGCTTGTGACTTGTACTTGTTTAGCATTCAGTTAAATAAAGATGCCTAAGTGCATAAATTTATTAGTTAGATCTTTATATTTTTTTCCAGGAAATTAAATCAGCACATAAAATTGCAAAGAGGTACTCTTCCATCCCTCAGATGTGGTCTAGGTGTCTACTGCGCCACTGTTATGGACTGTGGTTTATTTGTCTCCCAGCTTATGTGAAAGTCTGTCATTCAAAAGTCAGGGCTCTGAAAACAGCATATGATGTGCTTAAAAAAATGCAGTCAAAGAAGATGGATCCACCTGATGAGGTAACAATTATTTTATTGTTATATATATTTTTTGAGACAGGGTCTCACTCTGTCACCCAGGCTGGAGTGCAGTGATAGAGTCACAGCTCACTGCAGTCTTAACCTCTTGGGCTCAAGATGCAATCCTCTCATTTTAACCTCCCAGATAGCTGTGACTACAGTCATGTGCCACCACGCCTGGCTAATTTTTAAATTTTTTTGTAGAGACAGAGTCTCACTATGTGGTCTAGGTTGGTCAGAAACTCCTGGGCTCAAGAGATTCACCTGCCTTGCCCTCCCAAAATGTTGGGATTATAGGCATGAGCCTCTGTGCCCTGCCACAATTATTGTTTAAAATGCATTATTTTGTTCTAGATTTGTGTACATGGTGACATCTGTGTATCTGTACAATTTTGAACTTGTATTTCAGGTATGCTACCGCATTCTTATGCAACTCTGTGGACAATATGATCAGCCGGTGCTTGCAGTTCGAGTGCTTTTTGAAATGCGGAAAGCTGGTATTGACCCCAATGCCATTACTTATGGTTATTATAATAAGGTAAATACCTTGGTTTAACAGATAAAGAGTATTACTTTTGTCATTATGCAGTGTTAAATTTAATGGCAGAAATAATTTATGCAGGAGGTTATTTGGCATTTATTTTCAAGTATATAAAATACATTTTGTCAGTCAAGGAAGACTTTAGTTCTCTTTTATGTTATACAGTCTACTTTGATTTTTTCTTTCTTTGAAACAGGGTCTCACTCTGTCACCCAGGCTAGAGTGCAGTGGTGCAATCACGATTCACTGTAGCCTTGACCTCCCATGCTCAATTGATCTTCCCACCTGAGCCTCCTGAGTAGCTGGGAGTACAGGCATGTGCCACCATGCCTGGCTAATTTTCATATTTTTTGTAGAGGCGGGGTTTCACCTTGTTGCCCAGGCTGGTCTTGAATTCCTGGGCTCAAGTGATCCACCTGCCTCAGCCTCCCAAAGTGCTGGGATTACAGGCATGAGCTACCACGCCTGGCCTGCTTTGATATTCTTTAGCTTTATTCTGAAACCAATATATGTTCACTTCTAAAAATTATTTTACTAATTATTTTATTTTGTTGAATGAATAGGCTGTTTTGGAAAGTACCTGGCCTTCAAGAAGTCGTAGTGGCTATTTTCTCTGGACAAAAGTAAGAAATGTTATTTTAGGAGTAACGCAGTTCAAAAGAGCTTTAAAGAAACATGCACACTTATCACAAACAACTCTCTCAGGTAAGGGATGTGTGTTTTACTTGTTCTTCAAAATTAATTGACTAGCTACAGTTTACATTTTTAGAAATTTTAAACAGTTTTACAATATTGAATGTTTTAGTTTTTAGTTATTAAGCAAATTATATCACTCTTCCCATTTAGAAACCACCGGATTTCACTTCTGTTTAAATGTTTCAACTTCTGACCACCTTCGTGTGTGTTGTTTTCGTGTTCATTAATAACTCTCAATAGGTTTCTTTGTTATAGTTGTATTTTGCTAAGTATGTGGCACTTTTCATGTTCAGTATTACATTGGTGGATTATTAGCTTGAGCAACAAATTAATGTGTATATTTGGTACCTCTTTGAGTAGTAAAATGCTGTCAAATTGTGTTCTTAAGCAGATGGCAGTGACCTGGATGCTGTTAGTCATGGCAGCATGGATAGTGGTCATGGGACACACACTGTGGAGCAGGCACCTTTTAATACGGGTTTAATCAAAGTGTATGCTACTGATGATAGATCTAGTACAGGTTTGTGTATGCTTATGTATACATTTATTATAGTACATTTTTAAAACTAGATTTGGTAGCCTATTTTTTTTACATTTTCATTTTCAGTGATATGTTTAACTGTCACTTTTTAATTTTATATATTAAGTATTTGATTTGATATTAGATTTAATAACTATATGGAATTTTATTATTTGAATAGAAATAAAAGTTTTAAGAGAGGTTATAAATCACTTTATTCTACTATTTAATACATGATAATCCAGTTAACTCTGCGTAGACATAGATCTCTTTACCCTATCATTTTCTTATAATAAATTCTTTGAAATTATGAAAATGATATTAGAATTTTTTAAAAAAGAAGCATAGCTCTGTATCTAAGTTAATAGTATTATACCAACATCAGTTTCCTGGTTTTGACAATGTACTATGATTATGTAAGGTATTATCACTGGGGGAAGCTAGGTGAATAGTACCAAGGAACTCTCTGTACTGTAATGTTTTTTTAACTTCTGAATCTTAAGTGATTTTAAAAGTTGTAATAAAAAATTTTAAATATATAAAAATATAGCATTCTAAGGCTGGGTGTGGTAGCTCACACCTGTAATCCCAGCACCTTGGGAAGCCAAGGTGGGTGGTTCACTTGAGCCCAGGAGTTTGAGACTGTCTGGGCAACATAGCAAAACCCTGTCTCTACAAAAATACAAAAATTAGCTGGGCATGGTGTCCCGTGCCTGTGGTCCCAGCTACTAGGGAGACTGAGATAGGAGAATTGCTTGAACCCAGGAGGTTGAGGCTGCAGCGAGCCATGATCAAGCCACTGCACTCCAGCTTGGGTGACAGAGCAAGACCTTGTCTCAAAAAAAAAAAAAATTTTATATATATATAAAATAATATATGTATAATACTATGTATGTGTAATAGTATATGTATAATGTGTGTATAATACATATACACATAATATATGTATATGTATTTATGTGTATATAGAATTGTATATTTTATGTATATATTTATATATGTGTATATAGAATTGTATACTTCAGTGCTAGAATTATAGCACCAAAGATGGCATTAATTTCAGAGAAGTATAAGATTTGTATATCAGCTCTTCTTAATTATTATTACAATTGACATGCAAAAATAAATTATTTACATAATTCTGTTCTTTTTATTACATTTCAAAAATTACACATGACTTTTGACTACAGATAAGAGCAAGCTCTTAAAGGACAGAAACTTTAAAAATTGAAGCATTACTAATAAAATATGAAGGCCCATATCTCTGCAAATGTCAATATTATTTTGGTCTGTCTTGCTTTATACCTACTTTTAAATTTAATAAATGTAAGCTAATTTTGTTTAAATGTAATATTCATAGTTATTCTTCCTTGATTGATTTTATTCCTTGATTATGCAGTGTGATTTTAATCAGTTATAATAGTTATCCTTTGGCATTATCTCTTACAAACGAAGAAATCTTATCTTTTAACTGTGGCTTTTAAAAAGGCTATCTTAAAATAGTGCAAAACCTAATAAAAGCATGAATTTTATCGAGATAATTCTCAGATTTTTCTATTTATAGTTTCTTTAGAAATGGACCTGAAGTTTGATTAGAAAAAATAAAAACTCAAAATTATAACAAAAATATTAAACTAAATACCTAGTGATATATAATATAATTTCTTTAGAGAGTGCTTTACAAGCTTGTAAACATTTTTCATATATAGTCTCATATAATAATAACAACCTTATGTTTTACAAATTTGGGAACTTCAAATCCAAACAAAAAGGTTACATTGTTACTTAAAATCACATGTCTCCTGAGATAAAGAACTAGGATTCAAAACCTTATCTTTTGAGACTAATCTGGTAAAAACAATTTTCTAAAAATGATGCAGAGTCTCTTTAGCAAAACAGTGTATTAGAAGTTTTTTTTATATTGATAGACCTTTTTCCTTTCTTTGAGACAGCATCTCACTCTGTTGCCCAGACTGGAGTGCAGGGGTGCGATCATAGTTTACTGCAGCCTTGAACTCCTGAGCTCAAGTGATCTTCCCACCTCAGCCTCCCAAGGAGCTGGGGTCTATAGGTGCATGCCACCATGCCTGGCTAAATTTTTTTTTTTTTTTTTTTTTTGTAGTAGAGATGAGGTCCCACTGTGTTGCCCAGGCTGGTTTCAAACTCCTGGGCTCAAGTGATCTGCCTGCTTCAGCCTTCCAAAGTGCTGGGATTATAGGCATGAATCACTGCACCCAGCCCCTTTTGCTTTTCTTAACAATATCTTTGACACTAGATTTTTATCTCATCCCCATATATTTGTACTCACATGCAGTTCAATGATTATTCAGCTAAAATTTTTTAAAAATTAATTTCCTATCAAATTTGAAGAAATCCAATTTTTTAGTAAAATCATTTAGACATTTAGCTCTAGTGACCTATGTGTGAATGTTCTGTTATAAATTCTTTGCAGATTTCTCCATTGCTTAGTTGAAACTCAAACTTTCAACTAGAAAGGTCATGGACTTGTATAAAGAATGTGTGGTTTGTCTGTGTCTTTTGGAGCTCATATAGTAGTGTGAATGTACATAGTTACTTTTGACTACAATGTGGAACCAAGAGTAAATTATTTCGAGATCATCCCTTTCTTATATTAATAGAGATGATGGAAGGGGTAGCTAACAATGCTTTAAGGGTAGCTGACAAAATAATGCTTTAAATTGGAAGTTGTCCGGAAAAAATTTATGAGAAAATCCCAACACTAGTATGTTGCTCCTAATTCCAGTTGCACTCACTAAAGAAGTTTGTGATAGAGTTTTGTTTCTTTTTGTTTTTACCAGGTGGCCAGTCTGATCTTGGATATAATTCATTATCTAAAGATGAAGTTAGAAGAGGGGATACATCTACCGAAGACATTCAAGAAGAAAAAGATAAAAAAGGCAGTGATTGTAGTTCCTGTAGGTATTGTTTAAGTTGATATTGTATAAAATTGTGAACTTATATTCATAGAAAATGCAGGTGATTTTATAAAAGTTCTGCTTTTACTTTCCATTTTTCCATCATAACTCTTTCTTGTCTCCCATTATGTGCCCCCTCAGCCACCACATACTCTCATACAAATGCTTTATGTATGAAGTATATAGTCTCAGTGGCAAAACACTTCCCAAGTCAAATACCGTTAGAATGAATGCTATGTGACTCCCAAAATACATGTATTTAGTGGAAGTGTGTATACATTTCTTGAAACAGTATTTCTTTTTTGAGATTTAACAATATTTGAAAGCTTGTGATCCTTTTGTAGTTCATGGGCATGATGATTGGGTAGTCAAGCATGTTTGTGAGATGTGCCACCCTTGAACTTTGTTACAACATCAGCACATTACCCATCTGACCTGAAGAAAGAAAAAAAAAGTTTGTTTAATGGATTGTGATTATATTTACCCCCTTCCCCACTCCACCAAAAGCACTCCTTTACAATAAATGAGGAAATATAAAGTTTATACATGGACCTCATGCATGATCAGTATTCAGTAGTTTGATCTACACTTCAAGGCCTCAAATAAGTGAAATCACTTATTTGTGGTTGACAAACAGATATAGAGGTGTTCCGTATTTTCTTATCACCTGTTTTCGAGTAAAAATATGTAGAACTGAAAACTTCTCTTGATACCTCCTACAGTGTATGTAGATTTCATTTTATTAATATTTTTGTTTTCATCTTTCCAGTGTCAGAGAGTGAGAGTGCAAAAGGAAGTGCTGATTGCCTTCCTAAGCTCAGTTATCAGAATTCTTCCAGTATCGTTCGCCTCACTGGTACAAGTAACAACAGTGCTGATAAAATATCAGGAGAAAGCATGGGTAAGTTGAATAGTACACTTGTGTTATGTGCAGAATAAATTGTATCTGTATGACTAGTGAATAATTATTTTTTTAATAGTCTTAATTCTCCAAGGTGATTTTTAAAAATATTTTGTGCAGCCTCTCATGGTATAGCTTAGTAACTTGAGTTCTATATTTTATAACATGCTGTGTTCAAGCTTGTATTATACAAGGCATAGGGGCAAACCTCCAGCTTGTATACTCTTTTGAGTTTAGACTCTTGGTACTTTTTGGAAGGGGAAAGTGAGATCAGTAGAGGTGATGAGTCTGAGGGTACCATACAGCTAGTTAAGTTTCAGATGAAGCATATGGTTTATTAGTTTTCATATTATTCCTGTTTTTCCAGAGGCAAAAGGATAGTCCTTCAGATAGTTTAAGTAACAATACCCAATAATTTTTCTTTTCAAAGTCATCTTATATATTATTTTATATTTATTAATATAGAAATGCTTGTATCAAAGGGGATATTAGCACCATTTTAAAGATGAGAAAACTAAAGCATACTTCAGTGATTGGCAGGTCACATAAATTATCAGTAGTTAATAGAAAAGTCAGATTAGAAGTAGAATAATATTTGGCCTCAAAGTTTTTTTACCAGACCATTTTCAGGGGATTAAATAGACATAAGTAAGATTCAGAGTTTTTAGTGTTAGTAGTGTGATTACCTAATAAATTTTTTTGTGTTACCTTACTTTTGCATGATGTTGTAATATAAAAAATATTGAAGAACATGTGCTATCTAGACTGAAATATCTCTGTTTTTAAATGGCCTTGCTGCAATGGTGTTTGGTTTTTTTTGCAACACAGTTAGATATGCCTCTAGCTCAGGGAAAGGCAAACTAAGGCCCGAGGACCAAATTTGCCCTGAAGCCTATTATTATTCTAGCCTGCAAGCTAACCAAGCCACGATGGTTTTTATAGTTTTAAATTGTCAGAAAATAAGACTAATATTTAGTACACATGAAAATTTTATGAAATTCAGACATCAGTTTTCATAAATAAAGTTGTGGGAACACAGGCATGCTCATTCATTTACGTATTATCTGTGGCTGTTTTTGCATTGCAACAGCAGAGTTCAGTAGTTGTGACCGACACCACGTGGCCTGCGAAGACTACAATATTCACTCTTTAGCCCTTTATAGAAAAAGTTTGTGGAACCCTACTCTATCTATCAGACAAACAAAAGAAAGTTAGATCACCTATAACTCTTTTTTTGCATTTCTTTGTTAGGTAATTGTTATAACATAAACATTAAAAAATTTTCATCAGTGTCATAGAGTTGTTTCACAACCATTTAGTCCTTTGTAACTAATTTTCTAATTATAACTCTTAACTTGCGTTTGATCTTTATTTTATTGTTCTTTCATTGCTGTCTGTTCATGCTTGCCCTCCTCTTAGGATCTGTGTTTAATTTTTTTATTTAAATATGATTGTAAACCATCCTTTGATCTTCACATTTTGTCAGAATAATAAGCATCTGGCTAATCATCTGGCTTTCAGTTACCCTATATGCTGAACAAGTGAATTTTATAAAAGTCTAGAGTAAATTTCTTTGGTGTGAAGTAAAGTTATTAGTTTATCCTTGATGCTTTTGGCTTGAAAACTCTCATCTGTTAAGTACTGTGGGTTTATTACTGCTGCCAAAGACCATATGTGGGATATATAGGAATACTTATTATATACTTGTACATACTAGGATTTAAAGCATTTTTCGGGTTTATTTATGTTTTGCAGTACAATATATGAATATTTTATTTATATATAATATAAATGTATAT